ATTCTAATACCCAACATGAACCTCCCCTGGTGCAACTTGAGGCCAAACTCTGTAGTTCTATCACAAGTTATGTGGTGTAAGAGGATGATGCCCATCTCACCACAAACTCCTTTCAGGGAGTTGTAGAGGACAAGCATGTCTCCCCTGAGCCTCTTCTCCAGCCAAAACAATTCCTCAGCTGCCTGTCAGATCCCTCAGCTGCTTGTCGTAAGATTTAAATATATCTCATATAGATTTAGTCATATTCTCTGAACTCCAAACAGATTTGTCTAGTGAATGTTACTGAAAAATGCTCTACAACTTTTGGAGAAGTTACTAGCTTCGGGCACCTACATAGAAAATGTAAGTTTCTCTAGAACAAAAGATGATTTCTACTGTATGTGTACTCTGCCAGTATGTAATATATAGACACATACACATGTTGTGTGGTGAATATAATACATGTGCAGAAGGTGTAAAAATGAAAGTGTAGTAGTTCTGGTGCAATGTCAGTGTGCACTATCCTTCCTTGAGGAAAATGTGAGTACAAAATGAAGTACTTGGCATAACGCTCATTTCAAGCAATGGGAATGTGTGAAAAGATACCTGTTTTCTCTAGCTTTTCATTAATGCATACCAAGTAAAGTAACTCTCACATCAAAACAACAGGAATCTTTCTGATAAGCGTCGACTAATTTGTGAGCATGGCTGACGGCAGTGTATTTAAATGGCCTGACAAAGGTAGAGAAGAAAAGAGCTCCCTAAAGGAATACTCTATCTGTTTGAAGTGAATTTGCCAGGAGGATACTATCCTAGGAAGCCAATTCACTTTGATAAGAGCTGTACCATAATAAATGATAGAGATTTCTGCTCTCTCTGCCCATCTGTGGGTCTTGAGAATTGCAGCATTCATGTGTGTGTGAGGTTAACTGCCTGTCATATTAATTGCTGCAATAGCTCTTAAAGGTCAGATGGTGTACCAGAGTCTGAAGTATTAGTCATTTGGGCTAAAATATAGCTATTTTTGTGAACAGTTTTAAATTTAAATGTTTTCAAAATGGTTTTACTTCCTCTTCTCTAGGTTCTGTTTGCAACTGTGGGAAAATGCACTGAAAATTACTTTTGAACTTTTTCTGAAAGCAGGCAGAAGTCTGCTCATTCTCATTTACTATGGGAAAAAAGAAGTTCAAAGATGTGTAACTTGGAGCCCTATTTCCTATTCTTCTTTTTTTGGTTTCTCAAGATTGTTGCTGCTGAGGCAAGCACACATCACCAAGAAGAACAGAGCTGAGATATCAGAGGAGGACAGTTACAAGGTCAGAGGTTTTGATCAGAACGTCCAACCAATCTACGACATTGTGCTTTGATATGACTACAGTAAATCTCTGCTTCACAAGGCTAAGCCTAGAGCCTTAAGCCATCCAGAAGCTTTGTCTCACCTATCCTCAGTTGCCACACCTGTCCTCAGATGACCATCCTACCAACTGATCTTTTTTGTGAATAGAAGTAAGTAGACTAGAAAGCCTCTGGTAAAAGCAACAGCTAAGGAAGTGCAGTTCTATACTAAGAAATCAACTCTGCCTTTGCAGTGCTGGTAATCTCTGTGAAGTTTCCCAATGCCAACGGTGACTTAACACAGAGCTTATGAATAATTAAGTGACCTGAATTCATAACTGTTGTGAAAGCTTCACTGCTTAAAGCATTTTTTCATTAAGGTTGGTTTTTACTCATGATCTCCATCTTATCCTCTGAATCCCTGAGAATGATGTGTTTGATTGTCTCTCTATAAAAGTCAGAAAACATTCAGGCTTACATTTCATCCACAACTCAACATAAAGGTCTTCAATATAAGAAATGGTATTAAATTAGTTAGTTTTGAGATCTACTGTAGGTTTAGCCTTTCTTTAGCCCTATTTCTTACTTCTCTTCACCTGACTTGTTCTCTTCCTGTTTATTGAACCCTTGAAAGAAAGAGCATAACTTTGTGTTTATTGTCCCTCTCAGTTTAAATTACAGATTTGACCTGACATTAAACTGTTCCTTTTTTGTACTGGCCAAAAAAAAAAAAAAAAAAAAAAAAATCCAAAACACCATGTCGTATGATGATATCCTTCACTTTCATTGAACCATCTGGAGTTCTGGAGATGGAGCTGCAAACTGTCAACATCTCCGGATGGAAAGCAAATAGAGTTGGCTAAAATGGAAGTTTAAGCTGGAGAATCATCCTGTAGAAAGTTTAGAGCAGTTCAGTGCTAGAGGAAAGAAATGACTGTCTGTCAAACAACCTCCTGTCCCAAAGCTGTAGCATTAGGACATATCAAGTGCTTTGAAGATTGTTCAAGTCTGGATTTCAGTGAAAAACAGAGTTTGAGTTTGCTTTTTTTTTTTTGGTTTGCTATTTGCAACGATGTTGTTCTAAATGAGAGAAAAAGGTCTAATCTTCCATATCAAAACTCCCTTAATTGAAAGAAACAAGGATGAGTTTCTGCACTGATTGCTCCCTTCACTAATAAAACTGATACACATTTGATTTTATGTTATGCATAAAGCAAGTCAACCCTGGGTTCTTGATCTGTATGTAACAATAATTACTTTGATAACTGTGGATATATATACCCTTACACAAAGATTTCCTTGAATCAAGGGACTAAACAGTGCTGATAAAGTAACACTGCTGTATTGCATAGAGGTTGAAGTGCCTTGTGATTAGGGCTTCTATGTGGGATGAAAAAATGAAGTTCACTAGTTATATTCATTCTTTCCTGTTAAAAGGTTCCTAATTGAGACTGCAAGGACATGCTGAGAAATAAACTTCTGTTACATATCTTACAGAACCATAGCATTCAATGTCCATTGCAACTAATGAGCAGTATTGTAGTCTAGATTACTACTTGTTATTTTATGTACTTGGCAATGAGTATCTCTTATTTAAAATATTTATTTTTCTTTTGCTGAATTTTCTACAAAATTGAAACATTTGCCTTAAAAATGATGATCTCCCCAGCAAAAGAAATTACGTCTTGGAACTATGTAAAGACTTTTAACTGAAGAAAGAATTTCAAAACAATCTGTGCAAAATGAAGCTCACTTTCACCTTTTAATTAATCGTTCTGCCTAGTACTACTCTGGGTGTTTCTGTCTGTAAGTCAAACATGTGCTCCTTCTCTTGCTGTATGGAAGGGTTCCAAAGGTTGGGGGGAAGTCTTCCAGGAAACCTTTCCAAAACATATTTAGGGCTTGTTCTTCCTGTGCAGATAAAACCCTCAGATGTGTTTTAATACAGACTAAGTGAAGCTGGAAAATACAATATTTGGTTTGGGGCATGTTTTAAAATTAAATATAGAGACTTTATAGCCATTTTTCCTGTTAGAATTTGCATCAAGAGGCTTAGTTCTTTGTTATTCTGTTGTTTCTTTCAGTGAGTTCCAAATGTGCTAATCATTTGAGATTTATCTTAGTATAAATGTTTATTTGATCAAATAACTTTTTGCATTCTGAGACTTCCTTATCAGATTAGCAGATGGAAATGAATGTAGTCTCTACCTTTCATGAAGGAATTCTATATGGCTGTGTTTTGAAAACTTCTGTCTCTAAGTTACAAAAATAATCCAAATAAATGATCTATACATAAAAGAAAGATAAGGCTTTGTTGGTTTTTTTTTTTTTTTTTTTTCGTTTTTTTTTTTCCTCCTAAATATAGTTTCAGTTTTCCAGGTGTCCTGGAGTCTAACCGTATGTTTTATTAATCTAATTTTGTCTTGGGTTATTATGTGATACCCATGTAAATTGAATCGATTCTTAGAATCTTATCTGTTCACAGATTTAGAATTTTGTACAGGAAGCTGATTTTGCAACGTATGAAGTGATGGTTCTAATTAACTTTAAATTTCTTTCCTCTCTTTATTTCTTTCCCCAGGGAGTATGCATCAAAATTTTGACCTTTTATTATTTACACCCTTCAACGATCTGTTTTTCTTTCATCCCCTACAAAACTCAATCCTTCAAGTTTAACAGGTATTTCTTTTGGGGCAGCAAGGAGTAAAAATGAACAAAAGCAGCCAAGCATCAGTATGCCAGCAGTACATGTGCTGATAATATACAATATTCTCAGCAGTATTTGAAGTATGTTATTAACGGCAACTGCTGAGTTACTATCTAATTTAGTGTACTGTTTGCTAGGTGCATGGTTTTACATATGCTATCATTATTGTTTTACGTTTCTTTTTTTATAAGCTGCACTGTATTATGGTTTAACATGGAGAGAAACAGGGGTAGGCAATTATCAGTGTTAAGACCTGGGTAATAAAGCTTACTAGCTTCTTACATCAAGTCTTTAGTGCTACTCTGTAGGAAATATTCAGATCTTTTATATTGTGTTCTGATATTAATGAAATAAATGTAGAAATTAATATAACCAAGTTAGGTAGTAGATGCTAGTCCAGAGGGATCAACAGATGCCTTAAGGGATGCTGATGGCATGGCTAGCATCATGTGTTTGTTCAAAATAGGCTTTAAAAATATCTGTGTTATCATAGCCTAAAATAGATGCAAAGGAAGAATGGTGAGTAATTCAAGGTATGTGTATCTGCTTCTTTTCTTCTCCCCACAGCCTTATTACTTGATGACTTCCACAGAAGATAAATATTAGTGTTTCCGTTCTTAGTTACAATCCTGGAAAAAAAAAAGAAAAAAAAAGCAATGCTTAAATCAGTGAAATTAAAGTCAGTATTCCCTAGGAAGGTGACTATTAACTTTTTCCAGCTTTCATAGGGATTATTACCTCTTCTTATGCTATAAGTCTAAAAAAATTACTGTATTAAAATGTATTTTACTCAGGTATGTAGCCCATGGAATACCAAGGCTTATTTCATATTTATGTTTGGGGATTGATTCAGAAAGTCTAGGGGAGCACAAGAAGTAGGAAACTCATCAGTTCAGTTCTGTTGCCTTTGTTTGATACGTTCCATCTAAAAATAAGTGTTATGATAGCGAAATGGATATGCACAAATATGAAACAAGCAGGTTGCTCAGGATTTAATTCAGGTTTTAATCAGTTAAGGCAGGAAATTAGATTTAAAGATTCAGAAAATGAGATTTAATGAGTAAACAGACATTTCAATCAATGCCAAAGTAGTGATCCTTGTATATACAAAGACTGAAAATACATATCTATATATATTTATATATAAAAAAGAAAACAAATATTTTAGAATAGAAGTAATTTATAAATAGGTGTAATCCAAGAGGAAAAAAATCTGTTCTTCTGTGTATGATATGCTACATATTCAGTTGCATGTTTAAATGAGGAAAAAGTATTTTGCCTCTTATTCTGTTTTTGTGTGTACATACATGAAAAAGTAAATTCTTAATTTTTAAAGTTTTATCCTGAACTGAATTCTTGGTTTGGAGAATTCAAAATGTAAATAACAATACATTTACTTCTATGAAAAGAATTGTACTAAGTCAGGTCCACCAAAATATGCATGGAGTACATAGAATGGATAACTGCACAGAACTACAAGAAGGAAAAAACTGGCCCTTTTTTCTATACAATCAGAAATCTTCATAGCAGTGTGTATATTCTACTGAATAAAATATTTTAGTGTATATGGAATCAAAAGTTGATAACATTTTCCCCATATTGGATTTTTTTCTCCATCTCTGCAATTAGGGTGTGAATGTTGGAATACTGTCACTGATTTAGATACATCATTAACTTTTTTTCCAAAAGTTTATCCAACATTTTTTTATATTTTGAAAATCAAAAGTTAATTAGAGCTAAACAATTTGATCTATCTCTTTGACGTAAAAGGTGTTTGGCTGTATTCTTGAAAATGAATCCCTTGGGATGCTGTAATCTTCATAACTTCTCCATTCAGAGTATCATCTTCAATTATTGTTATCAGTCCTTCAGCAATTATTGATGGGCTAAAAAAAAAAAAAAGAGGCTATTATTCAATAATAATGATGTAATAGACTGTGATAATAATAATAGACTGTGAAAAGCATAATTACAAAAACACAAAGTAAGTCTATATACTCTGAAACTTAGCCTGATATATGAATATATTTATTTTCAGAAAAGTAAAGGTGGTATTATTGTATTAGGAGAGAAATCCAATCTCCTCAATCAGAAGATGGAACATAAAGCTGCAACTTTGCAAATCATTAGTGTTTGCTGCAGGTACTGCTAAATTCCTGTTGTAATCCACATACTTCTGGGCTTCCTATTGATTTTCTCTGTTGCAGGGGCAATGGACAGAAGTAGCCCTTACAAGACCCTCTGCAGCACTTTGCTGCTTATTTATTTAGTTTTATTTGTAGTAGGACTGGTACAAGCTAGTGCATGGAGAACTTTGCCATATCAGTTGGATATGTTCAGTAGATGAAATAGATATTTTAAATATGAAAAATATTGGGCAAAACAGCACAGGTTTCTTTTGTGTAGAAGGAGCTGACAGCTAATTGTTAAGAAACTGAGGAAGTATTAAGATGTCATTTCAGGCTTTACTTGTTCTTATTTTTAGAAAGGCTTTTGGCCTTTCTTTGCAATTCCCTGATGGACTAGCTAACTTTAATCTGATGCACATAGTCGTTACTGTACATTTATGAATTTGATCCAGTACTTGGTCTAATTTCTGTTTGTCTCATGTCCATATTTTGTAGAAACCAAATAAAAATTATATTCTCTGTATCTCATAAAGATTTTAATTTAGCAAATTTATGGAACGATCCACTAAGGACTATTCAGAACTAATACACCATCTTTAAGTCAGGAATTTGATTTGCACTTCGCTGGAACTGGGAATGCATAAGGAGGAAGCATCACCATGCAGACGATGCTCCTGAAATAGGCTTAAGTATCTGCCATTACTCATTTATTTATAGAATACAATTAACAGAATTTGGTCTGAGGCAGCGTTTCCCTTTCATTCTTTTAATTTTGCCTGCTGAGAATTAATTGAAAATGCAAACTTGTTCTTTATTTACAAAGGTCAAAAAGCAGTGTATCTGATTTGACTTACTCCATCACACCGTAGAACTGCATCATATTTTTTATCTCATCCTTATATGAATAATATTGTCCCATATTCTCTTCTTTATCTATTGATTGAAGAATTGGTGTGTTGACAAATCCTGGACAAATTGTGTTGAGTCTCACACCATAGTTTTCCATGTTAGCAGCTAACTAGAAAAGAGATAGAGTTAGGAGTTCAACATAGAGTAAGGAATTCAACATCAACATTTTTTAAAAAGAGTATTGTGTAGCTAAGTAAAATAACATTTAACAGAAACCCTGCCTGACATTACGTGAATCCTATCTCATTTTCATGATAAGGTAGCCTGCATTTTCGGTCTGAAAAAGGAAAGAAAGTCCTATATAGTTTGCATCTTGCTTCCACGATGCTAGGCTGTACTAATTCCCTGGTAAGTACAGTGATTCTGTGCTGATTTTTCTTTTTCTCCTCGACTTTCTCATGTTCAGCATAGAGATGGCATTTGCTCTGATTTTCTGCAAACCCCTTTATTTTTGAACTTACATGATGGTGTTTAATTACTCTCTCATAAGAAAGTGAAACTGGAAAACCAGGTTTCAGGATTGTGCTGTGGCTATTATGTGATATGCAACATTTAACCATACTTATCTGTTCAGCTTAATATTAAAAAGGAGTGATTTGTGTGGGGAGTAGGGGAGTAAAATCTAGACAACCATGCAAATGATTCTTTTAGGTTCTTTGTTCTGGAAATTAGGGTGGAAGCCTTTTATAAGTGGGCTATCTTCTCTAAGCTTAACCCATGAAAGTGTAATCATACTTCACTCTCTCCAATTTATTCTCTCACGTAGCTTGTTAAACTTAACTGGAAAATTTTGTAGTCAGAGTAAGATTTACTATGTGCTCATATAACACCTAACATGTCCCATCCTGAATGTGTTTTTACATTTTAGTGTGTTAAGAGTTGGCAAGAATAAATAACGATCAACAAATTTGTGTTCCAGTCACTTTTTCCACACTTTAGCACCTATTTATAATTACAACGTTCTCAGTTTGACTTAAAAATAAGAAAAGCAAAATGTTAAATGATTGAGATGGAGTTATGACTTTATGACTTCTGGTCTCTTCCATCTGTCCTTAAACTATTTTACAGTTTCTTTCTCCTTTGCTCAGTAAACCTTTCTAAAACTCAAACTTATCATAAACAATTTACTTATTCCATCTTCAGATACCCTTTGTGAAAGAAAGGACCCTCTAGCAATTTGGATTCTTCATTTGCTTTAAGACAGTTTGTTCCAGTTGTGTGACAAAAGAGGAGGGAGCATGAGAAACAGGGTGTTCCCTAGGAGATGCTGATACTGTTTTCAAAAACATATACTTACTGCTATTGAGCGTGTAAATCCAATTACACCATGCTTTGTAGCACAGTACACAGGTTGGAATGCAGCAGGCATGAGTCCTTTAAAATAAAAAGTTATCTGAATAAGGATGTTGGGTATCCCTACTTATGATGACCTTAAACACAAATGTACGTTAATAATGTAAAAAAACGTGATCAATTTTCATAAAATTCATAGAAATGCAACAAAATAGTTCATCAAAAATCTGCAAATTCTATTTTTTAATCTAAGTGAAGTGGGGAAAAATGGATGAAATAGATGAAAACACAGGTAGTCAAGGGTGGAATAATGAAAAAAAAAAAAGTATAATTTTAAGATTAAAGTACTGTCTTTGAAGTAAGACAAAAATAAAGGACAAGACCTAAGAAAGAACACAGAAAGGAAACACTCAAGAAAAAGAATTTTACAGCCTTTTTAAATGAATCTTGATATATGTAAAGTCTTTTAGATACTTTCGTTACTGAAACCTTAACTGCTGATACACAAACTGGACACCTGCGTTCATTTGCAGTGATTTTAAGGAAGGAATGTGGGTCAAGATGAGAGAAATAGCAAAGTCAATTTTGGCTACTGTAACTGAGTTAGTATTATGCTAGTAATACTCCACTAAACAAATAAATAAAATGTCTGACTTACATCCCTCCCTTCAGTTATTTCTCTCAGATACTAAAAACAAACAAAAAACATCAAAAAAAAACCTGAGAAAAATTTTCCCCTGCATGCTAGTGAGAGATAGAAATGAATGTGCTGCTCAACTGCCCATGAAATAATGTTGTTGCTTATTTGATAATGTCTTTTGAATTACAACAGAGAGTAAATTACATTGCATAGTGGGTTTTTCTCAAAGAAGCAAGTATAATAGAATAACTCAGACTTAACGTGAGGCACTGTAAAATTTATTTTACCTACAGTGCTGCTCCAATAATATTTCATAGGTTTTTAAGAAAAGACTTGCATGGAATAGGGAAGTCAATTTGCAATAAGCAAATGGAAAAAATACTAAGAAATGAATGCAGGACCTGCTCTGTATGTACCAGAGTGTATGGAGATGAGTGATTAAACACTGAGAAAATAATAAGATGAAATCCTTATTGAGCAGAAAGAAACAAAGGCAGAGATGTGGATAGGAGATATTCTCAAAGCATTTTCTACACTAAGTTAAACTGTATGAAATGAGTTTCACTGTATGGTACCTCCTACAGTGGCCCCTATTCAGAAATAAAAACCCAGCATGATATTTAGCAGGGGACAGAAAAAAGAGTGAACAATACTTGGCAATAACATTGATGTGTTTTGTAAGGAAAAGGAGAAGCAAAATGAAATATGACTGCCATAATAGTGAACATTTGTGGTGGGAGTGAAAGAGCATATAATCATTATTTACAGTAAAATAAGAAGAGCAGAGACTTTGGTAGAAAAATTAAGAAGTTAATTCTAGTAACACTGAGTTTGATGGCAAAAAGCTGATAAAGAAGAGATAGATCATGCGTGTATATATGTGTATTTTTAAACATTAAGCCAATAATATCTGCTGTGCAGTAACACCTGAACTGGACCACATGGATGCTTTGGTTCCACTTGAATGTGAAGTTCCTGTGAAAAGCAAGCAAAACCTCACCTGTTCCGTAGTTAAAGGATGACATTTGTCTGTGCTCCTTAATACAGTATTGTAAAGTCTGATTTTGATGCCTTGATACTTTAATTCAACAGAAATAATTTCTTTCACATCTTTAAATGATAAAATCAAAAAGAGTGTTTCTCATCTCAGTGGATGTTTACTACGAAAACTTTAAACGTAACATGACAAGATTCAAGGTTTTGTCTTAGTTTAAATGCCACTTTGCTTAGCCAGTGAAAGCAGCACTGTTCAGTGATGGGAAATGAACAACTTAACCTTGTTGTGTCCTTAGCTTGAATTGATTCATTATACTTTTGATTGAGAATCTATTTTTGAAAAATGTGTTTCCTATGGATTGTGATTACAGTATTCCTTTCTGGTGACTTCTGATTGTCATCCATCGTCAGTATTCTGGTGATAATTGGAAACACCGGAATACTGTCTCATTAGAAATACTATGGTATCATCATGATTATTTTAGCCATTTAGAGGTTTTATGTATTTTAAAGATGAAAACAATCCTAATGAAGCTACAGGTGATGGACATGATTCAGACAAAATGTACTTGGAAATAGAAAGGAAGAATTCAAAGATTTTGTTGGTGCTTTTTTTTTTTTTTTAACACAAGTAAATATAGTAAGACAAGTTACTTTACTTGAAAAGGAAGGGAAAATCCAGAAATAAACAAAGGAAGGGTACAGTTCACTGTAATGAAGTTGAAGAAGGTTCAAAGACTTACTTAAATGTCATAAGAGAGCAGGAATAACTTGGCAGGAAGAGCAGAACAAGTAACTCATCTTTTTGGTTAAATCAAAACATTAAAGCCATTCTGAATAACTGAAATTTTTTTTTGCTAACATGGAGAACCACAAAGAAATCAACTCACTTTCAGCCAAAGCAGTAATAAGTAACAGTGAAAAGCTAGTCCTCGAAACCTTCACAACAGCACTCCTGTCTTGCTTTTGTTCCTGACTTCTGCACCTTGTACCACAGTGTCTGATTTCCCCAGCCCCATGGAGATACGAAGCTGTATCTGTTCACAGTGTATCCTAGGGCTTTGCTGGAAAATATTTTGGGAACTGCTCTGTGACATTGATTCTGTTCTGCCTGAGTATTTAGCAGTTCATGAGTGTGTTTTCCTAGTGGGCGTTCATTTGTTAGAACATTTGGATTCTATTTGCTGCTTCTGTAGATATTTAATTATCTAATGCAAAGTGAAACAGCATCACTGAAAGAGGCTGGGGAATATTATCTGCAAAAAAATTTTGTGTGGGGAGAATGTTCAAATGGATGATGATGGAAGCAGTGTGTGCTGGGACAGGGGGAGGCAACTTATACCTAGAGCTTCCTCTCTCTGGGTTTTGTCATGGCACACAACTGTTACAATGAAAGGGGACAGGAAACTTACTTCCTCCTCAAAGGATCTCAATCAAGAACTAGATGGTGAACTTGACATGATTTCATGATGACTGAAGGTGCTTTTTTGATTACCATAAACATTTTGAGTAGACCAGCAATAATCCTGTGCTCATTTTCCCTTTTCTTTTTTCTCAGCAGGATGACAGCCAGCTTGTGCCTTTGGTTATATGGTAGTCCTCTCCTTGGTAAGGTGTCAGGACTCATTTCAGATATCAGGCTTCTCAATACAGCTGCTTGTTTATCATGGTCAATAGTTTTAATTAAGTTTCATGGTCTACATCTTGATAAATTCATATGGGATGTGGGGAATTGTATCAATAAGCTTTAATTTATCATTAAGCTTTGCTGAAACAATTATTTTCTACATTTGTGAAAATCTTTAATGAATACAGCATTAGGGATTTTTTTTTTTTTTCCCAGGTATGCTTTTCCACTGAAATGTCCTTTGAGATTTGAGTGAGTCTCCTTCCTTGACTAAGATTTATGAGCTTTTTGATGACCTTTCTACCCTCTATTTTGTTCATGGGTGCACATTGTTAGGCAGCTTAAGACAAGTTTTGTTCCTGCTTGACAACATCTTTGTTTCACTAATTCTTTGAGAAGCGTCCTTCGTGTTTGTATGAGCATACTGTAGAGAATAAGAAACCAAAGTCTGCTTTCTAACATGGCTGTTCATCTCACATAGGGTTTGAGCTCATTAGAAAGCAGTGCTTCTACACTATTATTATGCAGGGATTAAGCTTATTTCCAATAATTATTCAAATTTTTTTCACTTTGTGTTTTTATAACCTCAATATACTGTTCCATCCCAAATTTGTAATTTTATTTTATTTTTTAATGAAAGAGGTGAAGATCCTTAAGTGTAAGTTTTGGGTAACTGATGGAACCTATTTTAATGCAAGCCATAAGAGTGCATCTCTACTGGAAAATATTGTCAAAGTAATTTGTTTCCTCTCTCTATTAGATTTGCTTTATGAATTATAACAGTTTATTGTAACACATAGAATACTTACAAATAAATAACAACACAGGATGTAGCCATATTTATTTAAATTAAGTGTATTTTCAAACCACATCACAGAAATCTCCTTTGTCATCCTGGGGCAAAAGTCTGCAGTGTGGGATATGCTCACAACACTCTCTGAAGGTCAAAGCTTCTTGAAAAGAAGCAGTTATGTAAGCAGAAAAATGAGCTAGAGGCATGATGGCCCTATGGAGTGATGAGGGAATTGATTTTAAGGGGTTTACATAATATTCTATTCATAAGAGTGTGGAGGAATAAAAGATTATGCTCATTATGTCCGCAGTGATCTGTGCCAAAACCAGAGCAAATAGTAAACTGCATTATTTTTAGGTAACTTCATAACAATGAACCAAAGTCTTGAAGGAATAGTTTCTAAATTTTCTAATCTTGCCTTGATAGATTCTGCTCAGCAACTTCTTAATTTAAATAAGAGAGGGAACAAAAGCTCTTCTATGATGCTGAACTGGGTACCCAACTGTGCAGCTGTTTGCACCTTTACTCTTCTCCATTACTGTGACACAGTCTTGTCCTTACTCAAATGAAATTAACCATATAGTTTTGTTCTTGTGATATATATATATATACATATATATATACATATATATATATCTCAGATCCTAAAGAAGTCTCTGCTGTGCTGTGAAGAAATGCTTTACACATTTTCTTTGGCTGAAGCTTTACATAAGAGGGGAAACTGGCTGCATGTGGAGCCTGAATGCTTGAAATTAAATCAAACTGTTGATATTATTATACAGCAGTTGTACATGCCAGATAGACTACACATCAAACAAATTCTCACTGAGCAATATAAATTAGCATGTTCTAAGCTAAATATTTTATTTTATTTCTATATATCTCTATAAGAACTTTTCTTTTGTTCATTTGTTTTAAATATGGTAGAATCCAGGCAAATAGAAATTCAGTTTTTACAGAACAACTTCATGAAAGAATGAAAGCTCTTGAAGCAAGTGCTCACACAAACAAATTCAGTTTTCCTCTTTATTTACTACAAGTGTATATGTATAAGTCACAAAAAATGAAAGAGAGAATGTGAAATGTAGTCATGTAATTAATTGCAGGAGTTAAATTTAGTGTTTTGTGCTATTCCGGTTGCTTCTATATAGTCTGTATAAAAAAAAAAATAAATTAACATAAGTAGTTTCCTACTGAATGGGTTTTAGAAAAGTTTACTTTTTAAATTTGAAATTAAGTATATTACCATGTATTCAAAATCCTGCCCCAACTGGCATTCTCTTTTATGCAAGCTTATGTATTTCCTTCTCTCTCACATTTAGCCCTGTCTTGCAGGAATGCTCTAAAGAAAGGACGATTCAGTACTGGAAAGAAATGGTGGACCCTATGCTTACACCCAGCCAAACACTTATGGCATCCATTTCATAGGATGCATTTAAGTACGTCTGTGGGTGCTCTTTGGAAGCATAAAACAGTAAGGTTTGATTCAATCTCTAGTTCAATCATTGGCAGAATTCCCATGGTTAAGAACTAATTAATGCGTGAAGCAAACATTATTGAATGTTACACAAGAACTGCATATAACTCTCTTTGCTGCTCAACAAGACACTTGCTGTCAGTCTGTAGAGCACAGCTGATACAATCTTATAGAGGAGTTGGCTTTGGGGGTGGGGGGGGAGAGGGTAAAATTAAAACCACTCCAAAGTTTAATCATTAACAGAAGCTAGCTTCGAGAAATAAAACACACGCAGGGAATGTTAAACAAGCCAATGGCAGCTTGCCTTTTGTATATGGAGTGAGTTTAGGGACTTAGACCTTCAGACTGTAAAGGAGAATTAGAGTCACAAAGCACAAACAGTAAAAAATAAATAAACTATAAAAAGTTAGTGTGTGTCAGCTTTTACAATGTGGCTTTCCTTACGATCTAGGAAGAAGTTGCTATGTAGAAGACTTGTAAAAGCAAACAGAGCAAAGGAGGCTGTTTCTGATAGATGGATGCAATAGTTAGAGCATAATGTTAATTAAATAAATGAAAATTATAATAATTATAATGATACAAACTGAGGAAAGCCAAACTGTCAGATCATAAAAGCAAAATCTTTTTAATCAGTTCAGAATTCTTAAAACAGAATCAAACTTCTTGCCAGGTTTGCCCTTTCTTAAGCATTCTGCGTGCATCAGCACTTCTCTAGAAATGTGTAATCTTTTACTTGTGTTGATGAAATCTTTTATTGCGATAGCAGTTGTCTTCAGGTTAATTTTGTCCTGATATGAGGTCAGTTTGAGCTAATGGAGATGAATTTACCATCTGCTAAAGAGCCCCTCACCCATATGAAGTATGTATATGAGTGAAATCAGATCCTCTGTGTGATTTTTGTCAATATGGTGGACTGGATTTCTCCTTGCAGAAACCCATTTTATACGTTAATTTAATGTCCTCAGAACAGTCATGCCCATCCACAATCAGGACCTAAGGCCACCACTCTCTTAGGTCTATAAATTAGATTATGGTTCCCACCTTTGAGTATGTATCATTGTAACTTAGCAATGTTATTAAATAGTGTTCAGAATGTAGAATAAAATGAGGCAAGTTAGGTTTTGTCCTACCATTTCTGTTACTGTGATGAAAACTAGCTCAAAATGAGAATAAACAGGGAAGAGCCATAGTAAAAAAGAAAGAAGTGAGAGCAAATAGTACAATCCATTGATTTTTAGATACAAACCAGTGAACAGAAAGTGTTTACATAGAAAATATTCTCACCTGCCAATGATGAGATATTAATGATTACTCCTCCATCACCTCCATTTCCTTTTCTCATATATTCTAGACCAAGGTAGGTTCCTCTTATCACAGATGTCTAACATAAAGGGGAAAAAGTACAATTATATTCAAAATATGTTCCTTTTTTACTCCTAAAAAATTAGTTTTGCTTTAATTTTTATATTTAACTGTAATTTTGCTTTACTTGACTAGTGATCTAACTTATTCTTTGAAGATTATAAACACTGAAGTCATTCCACAGTAATTCAGCTCAATAATTTCCAAAGCAAAACTGCTGTAGATAAAATAATAGCTTGATTATTTTTCTAATAAAGATATAATTTGAAACATACTGCCTAAAATAAGTGCTGTGAAGGAAAGAAAATGAATACTATGTAAACAATCGATAGACCAAATACGTGCTTTGTCTGAGGATATAAGAATTGGATGAACAGATCATAATCCCAGTGTTTTTACTGAGATGAATTATTATTCATTTTAGAAAATGTACAGACTGAATCTGAAGTTGTTACACTTATGTCTTTGTTTGACTCACGACATGAGAAACTTGCACTTCTTAGAATTAACTTATGTAGTCTATTTCTGGTCCTAAAATTTGTATTTTCTGGCTGAAATTAGTGCATTTTTATCTTTCCTGTCAAAAGAAGGTTAGGTCAAACAGACAAATACAGCTACGGGAAAAAACCAACAGCAACAAAACATTTTACAAGATATGAAGGAAGGTATTAGCGTAATTTTAACTGGAGTATGTAAATTTGTTTCATTTTTAAAGAAAGAACTTTAAGGAAAAGTTTTGCTGTGACTTAATATCTTGATTACCTAAGACCTGGTTTTGAACCCTACTGCTGGGATTCATCCCACCAAACTTAAGATATTTAAAGCAAATGAGTCTCCGTAAAAGAGTAAGTTGCTTTACCAGAGATTTTGAGGAGTACTAATAGAAAGCTGTGGTGATGCTCTAAGTGAAAGATAATAACTTCATAAGTTTCATACTTATTTAGCAAGTTCATTAGATCTCCGCATAATCAATTTGTATTTGGCTTACAGTTTCAGAACTGAATCACTTTTATATTTCCAGAGATATTCTTTCTGTTTTTAATCAAGAACTCCATTCATATTTTCTTATTGTCTGTGCCATTTATTTGACCAGAACTAAGATGTTCAACAGATAAAGTGGCCCTACACATCTGTCCACGTATGTGCCAGGGAAGGTTTAAAGGACTCTGTACCACTGAGGTAGGAATGTCCCAAATTATATTACTAAAACCTTTCGGTTAGTGGTTAATTGTAAAGGGAAAAAGTCCTGTCTTCAAGAAACGTGCTTGTTTATTTTAATAGGAAACATATTTGGAAGATTTGAATGTCTTCCTTTTTTTATTTTTTTTCTGTATCCAAGTAACACAAGTCTGAACTGCACAGTGACAGAGATATAAAAACTTGAAGCTTCATTACAAAGTTTGCTTTGTAGTATCGATATTGAATCAGCTCTTTTTTTTCTTAATTTTCTTCATTTCTTCATTCATACAGATGTAGTATTTTATATTTTCAATATCAATGTATTTTCAGCATATCACTAGTAACATTTTGATTAATATAAGAAAAAGCTATTTTCTAAATACTTTAACAGAAGCTTTTCAAAGTTCTGTTTTCAGTGTCTCGCTAAATTAGATCTGATGCCCTGAAAAGTAGCAGACACTATAAATGTGGTCTTGCAGTGTTTAATGTTCATTGTCACATTTAAATTTCAAAGAATGTATAGAAAAATAAGATTATTTATGCCTGGTAGCATTGCTGTAAGGTAAATTTATTCTTAGAACGAAGTCATTAACAGCTTAACAGAAAAATTAGATTTATTTATTGGTGTTTCTCTCTCTCTCTCTCTCTCTCTAGATATATAATAAGATAAGCTGTATACAGGACATTTTAGAAAAGCGAGAGTTAATGCTGTCTCTGGAAAGCAGGTGCAGGCCCTATCATGCCCTGGAGCAGTGGCTCAGCCTGTTGAACAGAAAAGGAGAATTCCACTTGATGATGAGAAGAAATAAATCAGTTGGAGAAGGAAGTAGCTTGTGGCTCCTTGAGGATTTTTCTATTCTTCCAGCCTTCTCATTCAAACAGATAAAAGAGCAAGATGAGTCCTTAGGCAAACCACAAGTAAATGGGAATAGTGAGTGGCTTGACTTTTCTACCAAAATCATATTACTGATCTTTTTTTCTCTGTACCCCATTAGCAGCATCTCTTGGTGAGCTGGAGGAAGCCTTCTTTTATAGGTATTGTGAGAGGTTGTATTCTGAATTAATGCAGACATTCATTTGGATATTACCCTAATAACTGCTGTTATCCTTGCATGGAACTGCTCTATAAATGTGCATGATCATGGCTATTTCTGGTGTTTGGTCTTGTAACACAAATAATTATTCTGGGAATAAACTGAAAAAAAAATAGAGAGAGTGAGAAGAACCTAGCTGTCTGCACACTCATCAGATGGCACTCGGTATGAAGGTGTTATGTGATAGATCTTCCATTCACTTGCCAACATTTCCCTCTCCAGAAAAGAAAGTCATCTCAATAGTTTTCAAAGGTAGAACAGCAGTAGCTGAACTCACTGTTTTTTGAGCTTGCAATTTATTCTTAGAATCTAAGTGTCACTGTCCAGCCAAGCCCATGGATCCAGGTGGGTCAACAAACCAAGGCTGGCTCTTCTATCTGGGAGCCAAGAACTATGATGGGAAAGATGTTTTTCAAAGAAAAAGGTGTATATATTTTTGGGGAGTTGATTTGAAACTCATCTTTGGAAAAGTGCAAATTGCAGTCTGAGGCTTCCTCTTTTATGGAATGTGACACTAGTTTCCTGGATGTTTGCATTCCAAGAGAAAGCTTATAAACTATCACTTCAGTGCGTCATGCACAATAAAAAGTAAGTCAAAGAATGATGCATTCCTGGTCTTGGAATATGATGAAAAATGTTTCCCATCTGCCTTTTTTTCTTTCTTTTTTCAGGTTGTGTAACTAGAATCATAGAATCCTTAGAGTTGGAAGGGATCTTTAAAGGTCATCTAGTCCAACTCCCCTGCAATGAACAGGGACATCCACAGCTCGATCAGGTGTTGCCCAAGGCCTGATTCAGCCTCATTCAGGGATCAAACGCATCGCTAGGCAACCTGCTCCAGTGCTTCAGCACCTCACTGTAGAAGATTTTTTCTCTATGTCCAACCAAAATCTACCCTCTTTAAGCTTGAAGCCATTTCCCCTTGTACTATCACCACAGACCATGCTAAAGAGTGTGCCCCTTTCTTTCCTGTAGATCCCTTTTAGATACTGAAAGACTGCTCTCAGGTCACCTCAAAGCTTCCTCTTCTCCAGGCTGAATAACCCCAGGTTTCTCAGCCTTGTAGGAAAGGTGTTCCATCTCTTGGATAATTTTTGTGGCCCTCCTCTGGATACGCTCCATCAGGTCCATATCTCTTATGTACTGAGGACTCCACATCTGGATGCAGTACTCCAGGTGAAGTCTCACAATGAAGAGCAGAGGAGCAAGATCACCTTCCTTGACCTGCTGGCCATGCTTCTTTTAATGCATCCCAGGATATGATTGGCTTTCTGGACTGTGAGGTCACATTGCTGGCTCACGTCCAGCTTACCATCCAGCAGTACACACAGATCTTTTTTGGCAGGGCTGCACTCAATCCTTTCATCCCCCTGATTTTATTGGTAGTAAAGGTTGCCATAACACAGGTGCAAAATCTTGCACTTGGATTTGTTAAACTTCTTGAGGTTCAACTGCGGGTCCACTGCTCAAGACTGTCTGGGTCCCCCTGGATGGCATCCCATCCCTCTGGTGTGTTGGCTGCACCCCACAGACTGGTGTAATCAGCAAACTTGCTGAGGATGCAGTTGACCTCACTGACAATGTCATTGATGAGGATATTAAAGAGTACCAGTCCCAGCACTGATCCCCATGGGATACCACTGATCCAAACATTGAACAACTGAGCACCGCTTCCTGGACTCAATCCTGCAGCCAGTTCTTCATCCATTGATCAGTCCACCCATCAAATCCGAATTTTTCCAATTTGGAGAGAAGGATGTTGTGGGGTACCATGTCAAAGGTCTTACTGAAGACCAGATAGATGACATCAGTGGCTCTTCACTTCTTCATTGATGCAGTGACACCATCATAAAAGGCCATTTGGTTGGTCAAACAGGATTTGCATAGCTTCTAGGAGGATCTGCTCCATAATCTCTCTCAGCACAGAGGTAAGACTGATGGGATGGTAGTTCCCAGAATCATCCTTTTTATTCTTCTTAGAAATGAGTGTGGTGTTGTCTTTTTTCCAATCACCAGGGACTTCTCCTGGTTGCCATGACTTTTCATGTTGGCTGTTCATGTTGTTTCATGTTCATGCTGACTACTGAGAACTAACATTAAAACCTGAAAATAATTGGAATGGTTATCTTCCTAGTTGTTGAAAAAACAGACCTCATTGATACTGCTGTTTGTATTCTTATCAAAATACAATTATTTACTCTAGCAAATAATGAAGACAAGGTGCACTGCAGGTCTGAACATGCTCCTAAGGGAGAAAGTTTTATTTTGTACCTGCCAGAAGAAAGTTCAGGATTCTTCCCAGTTAAATCTTAATATCTCCTAGTGTTAGCTTCTGAAAAAATTCAGACTTGAATTAGATATGACCAGACATTCTAATGTCTGGTCTTTGAAAAATAATTGTGCTATTACTCAAAATGTTTGTAATTGCAATTGGAAGCATCTTATCAGTAATCATCAACTTATATAATAAATTGTTTGGCAATTTCACTATCAGTGCCAAAATCTGAAACAAAACTTACAAAATCTACAGTACGTTACAAGTCTGCATGTCCCATACATGTCTGTATGGTTTTAATGGTTGTTCTTAAAGGAATAGTATTTTGAAATTCTGATTCTAGTAAGACTCCTAGTTTTCAGCAGAGCTCTAATTCCATTTCTTCTGTCTTTCTGTCTTCTCCATGTCTTCTGTACTTTTTTGCCCCCTAAATTCCTCAGGAATAAAGGAATATTATTATTTTTTGAGTAA